TTCCCACTCCTCTCTCTGGCTGCAGTTGCTGGTTTGGGGGTTTTTTCCCTCCTTCTTAACTCCAGTCCTCCAGAGGCACTACCACCATTGCTGATGGGCTCAGCCTTGGCCAGCAGCGGGTTCGTCTTGGAGCCGGCTGGCACTGGTGCTGTCGGACATGGGGGAAGTTCTGTCAGCTTCTGGCAGAAGCCGCCTTTGTAGCCCCCTCACTACCAAAACCTTGCCACACAAACCCAATACATGGGTTAACACTCTAGCCAAATTCAGCATCTTCAGAAGCCCAGGAGAAGACTGGAGAAGAGCACTGCTCCACTCCCCCTATTGTTTAGCTGAAACAAATTAAATTAAACAACTGTGAATTCATTAATAATAAATCAGTGTGAAGTTAACTGCATGTTAGTGATACTCATGTTCATGTGTTGTGTCTGTTCTCCCTTGTGCTCCTGGCTATTCTAACCTGCCAGTTGCCTTGACACTTTTGTGTATAGAGAGCATGAAAAATTACCTTTCTCCCTGGTAACTGAAGTGTGGGACTTCTGCATTCCCTCACATGTTTGTGAATAACAACTATTTTCTGGACTGCCAAAAATTTGCAAGTTCAACTCTTAGATGTGAATTTAGAATTATAGAATTATACCCAAGATCCTGTATTTTGGACCATTAAGTTTTGTTGTTGCACTGAGAGACATGATATTAAAGAAAGATGAATATACTTTTCTTTGACTTGGTATATCCCAAAATAAATCCTTATGTGGATAGAAGTGAAAAAAGGAAAAACAGTAAGTGCTGATGACAAAAATTACAGGCTGCATGGTCCTTTTACACTGATCATCACAACCACATTGCATATTGCACATTTTAAAATCTACTGAAATTATCTGTGGCATAAGAAAACAAGACTGATGTTTTAATACTAATGTAATTTTTTTTGACAGTGATGAAAGACAAAGGTTACAAAGCCCATGTGATGTTCTTTTGGACTTTGGATCTGAAGTTGCCTTCAAAGACATAGTAAAGCTTCAGCTAATTCTTACCAATCACACTGGAATCAGTGCTCCATTCAAACTAGAAGCTGAGTATTTTACTGGCTATTCACTTACTCCAGAACAAGGAATCTGCCCGTAAGTCTTGCTTTTCTGCATAATGACTTAAATACTAATTTAGGTCTGGATTAAGTCTGCAGTCACAAGATACACTTTCTGCAGTGCTCTGGTGGGGTGTTTTTAAGCTTTTACTCTTGACAATGGTAATGAAACCTGCTGGTGAGGTTTCCTGCAGAAACAGGAAGCTTGCAATGCAAGGATGGAAGGTTTAGCTGGTGGAAATGGCAAAACACTCTTGTTGCCAATGGACTTAAGCTGATTTACGCTAGCCAAGGCTCTGTTGTGTTAGACTGTACACAGTCTTACAACTTTCAAGTTGATTCACTCTTAAGGATGTTACTTTCAAAAAATGCTTGTAAGCAGTCCTTCTTTAGGTTATAATGGCCGCTAATGTAGGAGTCAGATAGAGCTGTTACTTTAGCAGAGTTTCTCTCATGTCACAGAATTGTCACTGTGATTTCTTTATTTTTCCAAGCTCCTCAAGCTACCTGGTGAAAAGAAGAGGGCCCGTCACAAAACATGCAGCCAGAAGAGCACAGTCAGGTATGAGAACAGCTGTTAATCCCCTCAGTGGCAAGAAAGCAAAAGCCAACTGACTACCGTATTCAGCGTTAAATGTGCCAGTTAGGCACATCATTTCATTCTTGGAGTATCTGGATAAGTCTATACTGTTAAATGACTTAGTTCCTCGGTTCATTCTTGAGTTTGAAAGCCCACGTTGCATAAGCATTAGGTCAATCTCTCTCTTCCCAGTCCCCCCCCCCCCCCCCGTTTTTTTTTTCTTTCTCTCCCCCTCCCTTCCTTTCTCTCTCTCTTTCCTCTCTTTTTTTCTTGAAAACAACAGTCTGAAACAAAAATGGGTGATTCTGGTGATAGTTCACTCCCAGAATCACTCCCAGCACAGAGTATGGATGACATCCACAGCGTTTGGCTATTTCCCTCTTATACAGTCTTCCAATATTATTGCAGCAGGCTTTTCTCCCTCAAACTCTTTTATATATTCTCCCCACTGTGGAAAGCTACAGCACAGCCCATCTATCATTTCTGATGTGTTGTGCTGAAAAATAATAATAGTCGAAGCCACATGAGACCTAGGGAGGGAGGAAATGGGAGCAAATGCTATAACGTGTGGATGTGTCTTCTGTATCCAAAATAAAACTTGAACATATTGGTACTTTGCCATAGTGTTTGGTATCTGTTACAAAGACAGAGGCTTTCAGCTGTTGAATTAGTACTTAAGATTGGAAAAATGCTGTTCTGACAGATTCCATGCAAGCTTTTTGATTTAGAAGGCCAGGTGACTCAGAATGTGGAAAGGCTTTGCTCTTTGTAATTCATTCTTTGTGTTGAAGAGCACACAGAGGTAAACAGGCAGCTGCTAATAGAATGATAACCAGTTAGCACAAATTCCAGCTTCTTTTTCTCAAATTGAGGGTGTGTTTTCATGTAACTAATTAGTGCCTTGCATATCCCAAAAAGTCCTGGATCAGGTTTTTGGAAGGGAGTCCTTCTATGAAATAATCTCTGCAAGAACTCTCAAAAAAACAGATTAAGACCCACTGCAGAAGGGAACTTGTGTAAAGTGGTATAAATGTGGGTTGTGTAAATAATTCCAGGTTTTTTTTTTTTAAGCTAGTGAGGTTAGACCAATTAACACCAGCTAAAAATATAATCCGTTGAAAGACTCACTTTGTTCTGTTTCCTCAAAATTCATCAAATGCTTCTTTGCTGTGCTCCTTCAGAATTTGCAGCAGCAGTGCTATCTCATGGGAAGGGAGTAGCTTTCCATGTACAACCTTCCACAGGAACTCTGAAAGCCTTCCAGCAGCTAATCGTAGAAATAACAGCTTACAACAACATGTGGGGAGAGTACTGGGATGATCTTGTCTGTAAGGTAGGTGAGGGTTCAGTTTCGAGTGAAGTATTGCTATGGCAGATTTTAGACCAATTATATTTCCCAGATTCCTTTCTGTTAAAAATACTTTTTCAGTTTGTTAGGATTTCTGTAAAAAATCAGGATAGATATTACTATACCGCTACCTCCAACAACAAATAAGGAGTGATTGTTTGCTCTTACAGTGCGCAGTTTAGTTTTGGGGTAACGTGTTTATCCCTTGGGAAGTTTTCATGTGCCTTTAAAATGAGTGGAGCAGTTTAGATTTATAAAATCTGTTTAGTAGCTGGCCAGTGCACTGCTCTGCTCTATCAATACAATATATTGTGTTGTATGGAAAAGCTGCAGGAAGGCTGATGAATGTATGAGGTATTGCATTCTCCTGCTGAGAAGAGCTTTCGTTAGCATATGAATTAGATGCTGTCAAAAGAAACCAGTCAAAAATATTTGAAAATCCAACCAGTTTTCAAAACATAATTTTGTAACCCAGAGAACTAAAGTTTTATCTTGATTTTGATAGCAAAAATTCATTTTTAATAGGTGGGAGACTTACAACCTAAATTAATTCCTATGCAAATGACTGTGAAAGGCTGTCCAATGTTCCTACAGATGACAGGACCACAAACAGAGCGACCCGTAATCAGGTATAGTGCAAAACACCATCAGAGAAGTCAGAGAATTAAATACCATTAGACTACAGCCAACATACACACATGTTCCCATCTTGTCGTGATATCATGAGAAGGTCAGCAAAGTGACTGTCAAAGTACAGTACCTGCTTCTATAACACCAATACATTTGTTTCTGCCAGCATAAGTAGAAAAGAATCTGCATACAAGCCTTCTGAGGTTTACCAGCAATTGCTGTTCTGGGCTTACAGTCGTAGGCGGTCACCCAGTCCAGCCTCGTCTGATTCGGTGGAGGTGGACACTGCTGCACGGTGGCAGTTCTCCTCATCATCCACAGTTCATTTCCCCCTGTCCCTTTACCTGGACTGGGAGAAATGCAGCCCCAAGGTAAATAGGGGCAGAGGAAGGTTTGAGCCCTCTCATACAGCAAGTTGCATCTGCACATCTGGGTGAGAGGTGAGCGTTGGTTTATGGGGACCACAGCACTACACGCTCAGCCAGCTGCCATCCAGCATGACTCTTTCTTTCTGACTTCAGAGGAATTAGTGTTGCGTATCATACTGCAGCCAGGAGCATTTGCAATGTTAGCTCTGTGACGGGGCATAGAAACTGGATTTCGCTATCCACCATAAAAAAAACCCTTTTACACCTGGAAATCTGCGTCTGACACAGGTCACTCTGCTGCTGTGTAGCCATTTGCTGCCGCTGCCAGAGTGTTCCACAAAAGCTGACTTCACGTGTTTACCCTGAAACATCTGAGACAACTAAGAAAACTGGGAAAAAGAGACTGATTAAATAAAGCAATATTGTACGTCACAGTATAGGCCATGCTTTACCTGATAGCCACTCTTAACAGGCTGCTGCCAGGGCAGCCAGATAGGTTTCCACTTTTAAACAAATCTTCAATGATTTCAGACGTTCACTTTTATTTTTTGTATGTACTGATAACAAGGTTCCCCCCCTCAGGTTTGGCACTCATGTCTCTGGAGGGTCTCCTGTCTTTCGGAGGGTCCAGCTCAACAATCCCACTCCCTTTGGTAAGAATGACTTTTGTACAGCAGACATCAACACTTGCATTCTGCTCCTTATGATAATTAACATGTTAATGGGTCCTTCTATTTTTATTAACAGGCCTACTTGTTTCCTAATCAAGATAGTTTTTGTAAAAATAATACTAGTACATAAGAGAGTGTCTAAGCTGTTTTCTAACTTAGCTAGTACAGAACAATAATACATGTCGTCAGGTCTTTATATGCATAATAGTATTTATCATTGTGGCATTACTGCCGTGAATATTCGCTTGCTTTTCATAACAGTAAAGCAGGTAAGCTCCAGCCAGAGTGCAGTAGAATATATGTAATTGACTCAGTGTGTTGTTACTATGAAATGGCACATCCTATTCTGATATGTCTGGGGTTTTGCTCATTGAAATGATGGGAATTCAGGATTTTTCCATGCTGTTTTTGTAAATCACTCACAGCACTAACCCTGGTCAATCAATCAGATGTGCTGCCTGCTTCTTAGGGGCATCTGTGTTTAGTCTTTTTATCTCTTGAGTGAGATTTTAAGTTCAAAAGTCAATCACCATTTTTTTTTTTCTGAATGCCACCAAACACATTTGCTTAACAAACAAAATACTCATAATTTATTTGAATGTTATTAAAAGTATAATTTGGGACCTAGAGGGTGTCCAAGCTGTAAGAAAAGCATAACACACATAGTCTTAAATCATTTTAGTTTACAGCAAACATGGAGAGCTTAAGATGTGCTTTAATACAAATCCAGTTGCTAGACACAAATTCATTACTTGATATTCTGGTTCTCTGGTGCCAATTAAGCGGTTAGTCTTCTTAATGATCAGAAGGAATTTTCCTTTCTTCTTCTCGATTTAGACATTCGCCTGGACTGGGAAATTTACAACCAGGAGCAAGAGGATAAAAAGCTGGTGGACCTGTTGATGTTGTTTGGAGACCCTTTTCCTCCTAAGGACATGGATGAAACTGAGACTGCATCAGTTGGTAGCACCTCAGAGTCAGAGACTGTGTTAGAGTTGGATCAAACTGCCATTCCCTGTGGAAGCATTTATCCAGCTTCTCAAACCACAGATGAGGTCAGCTGTTAGTCTGTTTTTTATACCGCTGCTGAGATACATGATGGGTTTCTTGGCATGAAAGGTTGAAAACAATAACACACGATACAACTTGTAACTAAGAGATAGATTGTTAAAAGAAATGTCAGCTCCTCTCACAGTCAAAAAAGCAATACATGGGTAGCTGGCTATTGGTATCAGCAATCAGTTTCCAGAATGAACTATAAGCAAATAGTTCTTCAGCTTCTCCTTTTCTTAAAATTGTAAAAGCAGCTGATGAGATACTTTTTGAAATACTGTCACTGAAAAAATAACGCCATTTTTACATGAAAGTGTTGCGATAACTAAAAATTCTTAATTGGGGTCTACTTTTTTCATGGGTGCTTTATGGTGTCAGTGTGCTGTAATCAGGGCGCAGAATCTAACATGCAAAATTCAGATTGTAGCTAATGGTATGGAGGTATTTATCCCAGTGATAAAGTTAGATCTGTTCTGTTACTCTGTTAGAATATGGTAGCATCTATTACACGTGAAGTTTGATTATAATATGGCAATTTACTGTCTTGAAGGACTGGGAGTGACAGGGAAAAGGTCACATCAAGAAATATGTATATATATGTACAGGATACGTATCTTTCTCTGGCAAAAGCTTTACAGGAAAGATACTGAAATCATGTTTTCTCTGCTTCAGCTCAGAAGGCATAGTTGTTTTGAATACACCTCCAACCTTTCTCGTGCAGTGAGGGAACATTACTGCCCTAGAGTGCTGGTTTGTATAATGGGCCAGCGATGCTATGGTTGAGTGCTTCTCCTGGTAGGACAGGACCCAAGCATGCACATTTTCCAAGGAGTTTAGGAGCAGTTTCAGTAGACCAAAACTATGCATGAAAAAAAATAATGTACAGGACACATCCACATGTCCAGCTTTTGTGCCAGAAAGACAGAAACTGGAGCTGGCCATACTTACTGACTAGTGCAGCAGTTCCCTGTACACTTCACTTGCATTCCTCCTTTGCAGCGTAACAGTTTTAACCATTCTCCACCCTTGTGTCCCTGCAGTCTTCAGACTCTGACAGCAAAGAGAAGGAAATCATCACTGAAGAACCTACAATACAGAAAATCGTCTCTGTACTTATACGACCTCATGAAGGGATTCCTGCAGACAATCCCTACTCCATTACTCCAAGACAGATAGTAAGCTTTTACTTTTTCTTTGTGCTTAGATTTAGCATATTTTCTGCCGGACAGAGGAGGCAGAGAAAGAGGATGGGATAGCTTTGGTTTAGGGTAGAGACTACTGAACAGGGAAACAGTAGGCTGGGAGGCTTTGGAGTCTTGAAGATGTCCATGAGAATAGTTTGCAAAGTCAACAGAAAACAGAAAGAGTCCCACCTATGTTTAAGCAGTTAACTGATGACTGGAATTAGGTGTTCAGTTGCGCTAAGCTCTCTAGAGTGGCATCTCTGGTCTTCTCACTTGGGTTGCTTCCGTGAAATGTGTGGCATTAAGTGGGAGGCATCCAGCCTGAAGCTTTGGAAGCATGTTATTTAAGCAGGATAGATTTGCTAAGAGGTGTGGCAAGGTTGGAAAGCAGGCTGCTGGGAAAGGGGTGTCCTATAGACAACTCTTTTGAATGAGCAGTTGTAACCCATAAATCTAACTGGTACAAACAGGGGCCACAGTGTCACAATTCCTTAGGAAGAAGATAATGCAGACAGCAGTGGAAAGATCTAACTATGAGTGACAGTGTTGCCCAAAATATCAGTGGGTCAATTTTGATTCTTAAATATTAGCAAGCTTTTTGCCAAAGGGTTTCAGTTACAAGTTAGAATGAGCTAAAGATTACATAAAAGAAATAATTACAGAAATGGTATCTCAAAGCAATAAAGCCTACAGTCAGCTCTGGGGTAGCTGAGGCTGAGATAGTTCAAATGAACAAGTGCCTCATTGTGGAGACAGCCTCTATCAGTTGTGGCCAGCAGTGAGCCTGGCCCGTGTGGAATGGAGTTGATGCCTATGGAGCCATTCAGGTGTTCCTCTGCAGAAATGTTCTCCTTGTTTCTACTATCGCTCCAGGAAGGTCTGTTAGCTCAGGTGTTGTGCAGCACAGCTGGCCAGACCTGGCTTAAGTCCATGTCTGAACAACTAAGCTCTCTGTGACCACAATGCACAGACCCTGCAGTGTTGTAGGACATGACGGAGCTTACTATCTCTGCTCTAGCCCTGGTAGACCTTAGGCAGAACTTTCTTAAGCTCCTCACCACTCTGAGCAGGGAAATGCAGTGCAAGGAGAGCTGAGCTAGTTTTGCTTCTGCTGAACGTAGGTGCAGCAAGACCAAACACTTCACCCTGTGATCACATAAGTGAGGGAGTTTGTGTCTGCACAGCATGAGCCCAAAAGCAGTACATACCACACGGCCCCTGAGCTTACAAACTCAGCTAGACATGAATTGGCTCTGTAGGGAGATGGCAAAGGTTTTTCTGCAGCAATAGCAGGATTTAACCATAATGTACATAAGGCACCTAAAGAAAGCAGAATCTCTTCAACCCGTAAATCCCAGAAAATCCACTGTTAGCTGCATTTGATTACATTCCCTGCTGTCACGTAAAATAAAAACATACCCAAGAGTAAACCAAAGTGTAAAATGCTCTTAATTCACACACTTGTAACTCTTAAAAAAATATTTCTTGTATCGGTGAGTGCTGGCAGTTGTGGGAGAATCATCTGAGTTAGCTGTGGAGTAAGACTGGGCAAAATGGGGTGTTTTTAAAAACAAACAGATACCTACATAAGTATGGGTACTTAGGGAGTTGGTCTGTGACTCTGTTGATGCTCAAGAGTGGCTACAGTCATACTTGCAGCTGAAGCAAGTCAGTTTTGTTGTCAAATGTCATTTTAGTGCATGCCTGAGGGTAGCCCATCCCCAGGAGATTTCATGCTGCTTGTGCAACTCAAGTTCTAGCAGCTGAGCGCTGAGGACGCTTGTGCAATCCCAGGCAACTCCCTGCACTGCTCAGCGGTTGTCTCTGGCCTGCAGGTGGTTCCAGGAGGTGGCAGCATCTCCGTTTGCATCTCCTTCACCCCACGGGTCCTGCCAGAGGCCGTGCCTGAAGCGCAATGCAAGGGGTTTGTGCTGGGTTTCATGAACCTAGACGACAAGGTAAGCTCTCGCAAGGCTAAAGGTAAGCAAGGCTAAAGATGACTAGAAAATAATCGTTTCCTTTCCTGTAATTTACGTACAGGTTGCTGCGTACCTGGCCAGTCTGTATAAACAGTCCTGTACATCCTTCCTTCACCATTTGTTTCATTTGTTGCATTTGCCTTTTAGCTTGGAAGCATTCCGGGGTGGGAATGTCACCATCTTCTCACATTGTCTGGTGCAGCAGATCCCAAACAAAAGCCCAGGGTTTGAAACACTGTCACAACATCAGGTTTTGTTGATAGCAGTAGTTAACAATGGGACTGAGACTCAGGACTGCCGAGATCTGTTCCTGGCTCTGCATCTACCTTCCTGTGTGAATTTGGACAGCATATTTCTCCTCTGGGAAGCTTCCTCTTCAGCAACTGCAAGTGCAGCTCACAGGCTGATGTGAGGCTTGAATAGTGTTTTATGAATTGCTCTGTGATTCTCTGACATGAATCATGCAAAGGTGCAAGGTATAATGAATGAATGAGAATAGAATATTTAATAAAAACACCTCTAACTTTCCCAACTCCTGGAGGAAGAAACATCTGCATCTGTATTAACCAGCCACAGCCAGAGTTCAACTACTGCTTAGCTTTTGCTGTTCCTTGCATGTTGCCATCATGTCTTACAAACAGGTGTTGTCAAAGCAGGATCCTATTTTTGCTAACAGCCTCTCGGGATAAAAGTAGGATTTCAGGTTTTAACGCTACCATTTTATATGTCATTTCTGTTTTCATTTTGTTGTCAGCTTGCGAAGACAGTGCCTAACAAAGTGCGTCGCAGACATGGCTATGAAGCTCCACCGTTCCGAATAGACTTGCAAGCTTTCATAAGGCATGCTCTGTAAGTACTGTCACACTGCCGGCTGGTTCGCTCGCAGAAGGACTCAGCCTGGAGGGCAGGACTCTGACCAGCTCTGATTCTTTACACTCAGGTTAAAAGTAGACATCGATCATGACAGAGGAATGGTGTTTTATTCAATGGCAAGTGATCTCGTACCAGATCAGTCTCTGCTAGGAGTAAGTATCTCATGCAGCGATGTATTCAGCTGGTTTGTACCGCTGTGCTACTGTAAGAATTCAGAACATCTTTATTGCCTGTAGCCTCATGTTGCAATTTTCCATATTGCACATAACAAGGTAGGTAAGACAAAAGGACTACAAGTACTTATTATCCAGGAATAAGCAAAGCTGAGCTTAGACAATGACTATTTTATACGTCTTTCTCTTTGAAGAGGAGTTCATAAATAGAAAAATTAGTACTTATTTTCAGGACATAAAGGTCTGATAGCAGAATGAGTCACTTAAAGCAGTGTGGTCAGTTTCTGTAATTCTTGACATTCAAAGACTTTTAAACTGTCTTACATGATTTTTATTTTGCTATTTTACTCAAAGTTTGAAAAACACAAGTAAAAAATTACTGGGCTGCTTTGGGATAAAGTCCTTCAGATTCCTAGTGGTGCTGAATGGCCAGACAGACTGGCACAAACCTCTCAAGGGTATTAAAACTAACCAGTTTTGAATCATTTCTCCACCAGGTTTTGACAGGTTCAGTAATGACTCAGAGTTTGAAGCTCATCAATTGCACTAAGGTTCCTCTGTACTTCAGGCTCCTTCTGTCTACGCCCTTCAGCCTGTCCAGCACGGATCCCAAAAAGAGCACCAAAACATTCCACAGCAAGAAGGAGGAAAACGAACAGCAACCACAACTTGTACTTTATCCACAGCAAAACATGTTGGTAGGCTCAAAAATAATAACCCTGTGCCAGAATAGATAGTTTAGTAATTGGTGTGTTAGCATGGCCCAGATGAACCACAAGGAAAACCACAGCCAGTATAGAAATCTCCCAATTTCAGGGGAAACAGTGGTATATTAGCAAATACTAATTACAGCAATTTTGCCTGTTACTGTGGGTACAAAATATTTTTCTGCAGTGGCCCTGATGCAGAAAGTCATCAACTCTGACCTGTTGCAAACTCCTGCAGAAAACCCTGTGGTTTTTGGAGCTCACCTAAGTCAATAGCCATATTTATGCTGGACAAATTAAAAGATTTCGAAGGACTGCAGTCCCTCATTTCCTTAAATTAGATGCAGGCAGTGCAAACACAGAAAAATTTGGTTCGTTTTGGGTGTACACAATGGCATTAAAGGAAACAAAAGTCTTGGAGTCACGAATTAGCTAGGGTTGCAAAGAATGAGTAACAGTTGCAGTTCTGAAGTGTGCTTCTCATTTTTCAGTGTTCATTTTGACAGACACACACATGGCTTAATTCTGCGTGTGTGGGAAGAAAGAAGCCTTATGTGTTTAAGACACTTTGGGAATATGGTATTTGTAACCTTGGGAATTTAGAACCTTTGTCTTTCTAGAGACTGTTTCTCCCCTGTGGTTCAGAGATGAGCTGTTCATCTTTACACTCCATCTCTGTGTACTGGGTTCATAGGAAATAGCTGTGTTTTTTCTTTAATTAAATGCTTTGTTCCAGTGGGAATTTGGTTGCTGGCATGACACCTTTGGGTTCCAGTGGGAAAATGTGCTCCTGGGCTTTTGAGCAGTGTTTACTTTGGATTTCCTGCACACAGTGTCTTCTTATGTGATGGTCATCTGCATTCCAATTCCCACAGGTGAAAGTGTCATTCCACACAACTCCGGAGTTACTTACGTATCAACACTTGCCAGATACCCAGCTGCTTCCTGGATTCCAAGTGCTCCAGTTTGCAAATGGAGAGAGAAAGCTGAAGTTTAATCAAAATCTGGTCATCGAACACAGTAACCGCACTATCCAGGTAAGATCAGAGTGGGATCTGTGGGCCCTGAGAAAGGGCTATGTTTTATCAGCATCTCTAACTCAGAACGAACATGCCTTAGGATTTACTTGTCTTTGATATACACTTCTAGAGTAACTTGTGTCATCCAGTTAAAGTGGGTGGCCACAGATTTCCAAAAGGAGATAGCCCTCTTGAGATTGCAGGTGACTCTGAGATGGACAGAGCGGTTTTGGGTCGGCACCCTGGTGCTCGTACCCCAGCTCTTTGCAAAGCATGATGACCTAGATCATAGAATCATAGAATGGTTTGTGTTGGAAGGGACCTTTAAACGTCACCTAGTCCAACCCCCCTGCAGTGACCAGGGACACCTTCAACTAGAGCAGGTTGCTCAGAGCCCTGTCCAGCCTGACCTGGGATGTTTCCAGGGATGGGGCATCTGCCACCTCTCTGGGCAACCTGGGCCAGTGTTTCACCACCCTCATTGTGAAAATTTTATTCCTTATATTTAGTCTAAGTCTGCCTTCTTTTAGTTTAAAACCATTACCAGACCCAATCACAGTGTGACTCTCAATGTCCCTCTGAGACATGGGGTCAGGGCTGTCTCAGCGAACATGCCAGCAACTGAGTCACCAAGCGTTGCCTCCTGCAGTACCCAAGCACTTCTTGAAAGTCTCCTGAGTCTAACTCATGTGGTATGGTCACAGCTCACACACATTTAAAGACTGATCTCTTCCAGATGGAAAGCTATAAACCCCACACCCCCAAGTATTCAGCAGTTACAGTACACTGCAGGCATATTTTTTTTTCATAGCAGGTATTTCTGAGGACTGATCTGCAAGATCCAGGCACCATCTCTAAGATACAGTCAGTTTAGTAATAACCTTGGGCAATCTGTACCAATCAAATGACTCACAGTGGGCCATATACAGTCCTAAGGGACTACAGGATGCTGTAATGTCTGTGTCTCCACAGAAAACCCCAATAACAAATCAGAATGTTCACTCTCTGTTACTTCATTAAGACCACAGTGTCTGGTTTGAAAACCTATCCCAAAACAGTAAAACAAGCAACAACTTAATTCATTCAAAAGCTGTAGAATGGAGAATTGACTCTATTACAAAAGAACACAGAACTTCTGATTCAGTGCTTGAGGTAAGAATGATCCAGCTGTAACATATATTATTAAAGCACTACAAAAATAAGGTGGTGTTTGGTTTTTTTTTTTTCTCCTTTCCCTTTCCTCTGTCTTGCAGCTGGTCCCAGTGACAGCATACCTCACTGTCCCAGTTCTGGAGCTGTCTTGCGACACGGTTGATTTCAAGACCTGCTTTGTTGCACAGACCAAGACTGAACACGTCTTCCTGTGTAACAGGAGTGGCTGTAGAAGTTACTGGACTGTTCTGCTGGGTATTCTGGTTTTGCAATTGGATTCCCTTGCTATATAGTTTCACTATTCAGTGGTTTTATTTAGTAAGACTGCATCACTCACTCAAATATATAGCCAATATATGATCATCTTGGCTGCAAATGTATCAAATCTGCTTCTGTTCTCACTCATGTGGGCTTTTTCTTCTTTCTTTTTTTTTTTTTTTTTTTTTTTTTTTTACACCAGCCATCTCTACTGATTTCAGCAGTTACTCCAGTTTTAACCAAAAGATTGAATCAGCCCTCACAAGTAGTGGACATGCTTTGCTCATTTATAATATAATCCTAAGAGGCAACAAGAAGCAGCAGCTCCTCATGAGTTCAGTTTGAGCTTCTGCCTAATGACATTAACAACAGATGGGCTTCAAAGGAAAGATCAGGGCCTTATTATTTTGATGTGGAGGCCATTGATCACTCCCCTTGATTAGAGGATGAAAACAGAAACTGGCCACATGCATAGGAAGCCTCTGAAGTGCAAGACATGATTCATGGCTAGCAAGAAGGCGCATTGTTTTGAGTGCTACACGCTGTATAAACTTTATACAAAGGGTCTGGTATTGTTTTGTTGGATATTTGCCCCTTTATTGCAGATGAACAGGAACAGCAGAACGACCTTGAAGTGTTTGCTGTCTCCCCTACTAAAGGCATTTTGGAGGCACGTGAAGGGGACCCACCTACCAAGGAAGTTTTGCAGATCAGCTTTACTGCAAGGTACAGTTACCAGGACTGAAATCTTGCTGTTATTCGCTGGCAAGCCGCGACGTACGGTGTGAGTAGTCACTGAAAGCAGAGAGCCATTCTGCTCGGTTCTTCTGTTACCAGGCTGCTCGTTTTGCTTCTAACACTTGCCGATCCTGGGCTTCCAGCTGGTAATTTTTCCATATAACCATGTTTCCACATACGGGATTTCTTTTGGAATTGGCACCCAGAATTTCAGACTTTAGATTTACCCACTCGAAATCATGCTGTTCCAACAGTTGGCTTGACACACTGACTCTGTACCACTGGGTAAAATCCCGCTCTTCAGTGCAATGTCTTCAACAGAGGGCAGATCTCAGGCCTGCAAATCAATGTAGAGGCTGATATGACAGTTGTGTCCAGCATTTTATTAGGACAGAGGGAGAAATGTGTCTGGAGTAGCTTAGAATTCTAGTAAAGGATCTATTTGTCATGCAGGAAAGCGCAACATGTTTTTCAGTCAGTCTCGGGGATCCTTCATTATAGTTTGTGGCATCTCTCTAAAAGAAGCTTTTTTTAAATTTCTTCACTTCACTACACGTATTCAGAGTTCCTCCTGATGAAGCAAATAGAGCAAAATGTTATTCCAGTGCAGTGATACAATTTGTTTTACCTTTGCTTAGCCGGGTCCAATGTTTAGCCTAACAAACAGTTGTGTCGATGTTTGATGAGAAAGGAAAAAAAAAAAATCAATGTATTTCTGTTGCCTCTAGTGCAGACATTTTCTACACAGCAAAGATAATGTGAGCTGCAGGCAGATGACTGCAAAGAACAGAAGCAAGCAGTTGAAAATTACGTTGTCCTATAAGCGTCTAATACTGTTCTGTTTATGGACATCTTGTCATAACCTTTTGTCAAGGCTAGAAATTAGTTGTGAATGGAAGAGGCAAAGACCCAAAGCCTTTAATTTCTTTGCTCTAATTAGGGAGATGCAACTCCTGTAGCAAAATTCAGCTTCCATTCCAAATTATTTTCTTGGAAGTTATCACATAGAATCATAGAATGGTTTGTGTTGGAAGGGACCTTTCAAGGCCATCTAGTCCAACCCCCCTGCAGTGACCAGGGACATCTTCAACTAGAGCAGGTTGCTCAGAGCCCCGTCCAACCTGACCTGGGACGTTTCCAGGGATGGGGCATCTACCACCTCTCTGGGCAACCTGGGCCAGTGGTTCACCACCCTCATGGTCAAAAATTTCTTCTTTCCATCTAGTCAAAATCTACTGCCTTTTAGTTTAAAACCATTACCCCTTGTCCTATGGCAACAGGCTCTGCTAAAAAGTCTGTCCCCCTCTTTCTTATAGGCCCCCTCTGAGTCCTGGCAGCTGCACTAAGGTCTCCCTGGAGCCTTCTCTTCTCCAGGCTGAACCCCCCCAGCTCTCCCAGCCTGTCCTCCCAGCAGAGCTGTTCCAGCCCTCTGATCATTTCTGTGGCCTCCTCTGGACCCGCTTCAACAGGTCCTTGTCTCTCCTGCGCTGAGGGCTCCAGAGCTGGACAGATGGTGGTAGAAAGTTTCAGACAGACAGGTCTATCCCAGTGATTTCAGTGAACGCTGAACACTGCTGATGGAATTTTCAAGCAGCAACCTACAGGTGACAGGTTACTGACCTAACTTCGGGCTCCCTGGAACACCTTGAGATCTTGAGCCTCCAAAACCTGAGTGCGACGAGGCCTTGAGCAGCTGCTCTAAGCCATCCCTGCTCTGAGCAGCGTGGTGGACCAGAGACCTCCCCAGGCTCCCGACTGCCTACATTTTTCTACAGTGCTTGTGAATATGCCTGAAGTGCTGCTTTTCATTTGACGACAGATACAGTACTTAGTGTGCCTGAAAGTACCGGAGAGCAAAGATACTGCTTGTAGAGCAACCAGCTTGAGCTCCAGATGAAGAATTCCCAACACAGCAGAGCTCAGGACTAGTGTGGCATTAGTAAATTATTATATGCAAGGTGTGAGGTGATTTTAATAATTGACCTCCCTAAATCAGTGGTCTTCCTGCAGGGGAATTTTGCGTGAGAAGCAAAAAATAATAGTTGTCTGGCAGAACAGGCTCTGACCTCAGGCCTCTACAACAGCCATCTCGGACACAGCGAAGCCCTTCAGATGAAGCGTCTCAGGGGTGTTAGGTAGCCTTAGGCAAGTCATGCTGTAAGACTTCCACTTACAGCAAGGGTAGTTTTATCCCTTGTGCTAAGGTTTGGAGGGGACAGAAACTTTTGTTTCAAACTTTCTCTGTCACAGGGAGGAGTGTTCACATCAAGGCAGTGCAGGCATTTGCTCCCAAACACTAGCCCTCAGCAGAACTTCATTTATTTAACTAAAATAAAATTTCACAAGTAGGAGGCCACTCAAGTTGTTCTTCCAAACATGGAGTTAATAGTCCAAAGCCTTTACTTGAGGTACAGACTGGAGCATTCTTTTTGAACATCCTAAACGTAGTTGTGGGAGATGACACTATTGAAGCGACTGCCACATGCCCACTCAACACTAATGGAGGAGACCAGTACTTGCAACTAGGAGCAGTTTATGTCTTAGGGCACCATTCTCCCTTTTTTCCTCTGCAAAGTAACTTAAGCACAGAACATCTCGCTGTAACTGAACTGCCTTTTTGCTCTGCATTTTAGGAGTGACACTGAATATGAAACTATCGTGACCATTACAGGAATGCTGGGAGAGAAGCCTTGCAAGCTACAGCTCAGGGGACGAGGAACATACAATGGGAAGTATGAAGACCTGTATTTAATTTAAGCAAAATGCTGTGGGACAAATGTCAAGGTAACAGGTTGGATGCAGATGTGTCAACATTGAGCTCTTCAGTTGTTTTAATATGGAGTGGAACTTTAACAGAATGAAATTTTAAGTTATGAGGGGAAAAAAAAGCTCATGGTACTTTAAAGAAAACAGTCATAACCTCATTCTGTGATATTACTTTTATTGCTGTGACAAGCTTACCATTACCCACAGAACCAGGCTCTGCAAAAGAATTGGTTTTAAATTGCAAAGCAGCTATTGTAACAGTTAGGCCAAAACCCCTTTGCATATCACAGTATGCCTCAAAATACAATTGAAGACTGTTTGTACCTTAAATAGCAGCTTTTGTTTTGCCTTGTTTATTTGTTTGACATTAAAATGGACACTGACACATAATAAAAGCAGGAGCCAGCATTCCCCCAGCTGTTTGCTCAGTGCCTTACATGAAAAGGGGAAGAGCCAACTTTCCCTGGACTCCTTGGAAAATTACCAACCTGCATGTTTTATCATGCTTGGGTATTGAGAACATCCCCTTCAGCTACAGAGGGAGGAACCCTTCTTCCTCTTAATTCTTTCCCCCCACATGGTTCCCATTTACTCACACTTCTCTTTAAATGCTTTTAGTATTACTTTAGCTAAAGGTCACTGAAATTCCCACTTCTGAGCCTGTTAAGTTTTCTACTCCCATCATAGAAAAGGTTTTTGTTAAAGGCAGTGTGTGTAGGGAGGAGGGGGCTGCAGGCCACGCTGGAGGAGAGCAAAAGATGCATGATAGCCACCTTCTGCCTAGTTTAGAAGAGACCTGTGCTAGTACACCAAGACCTCATTTTATACACAGGAACCTCAGTGTGAAAAAAGGACCCTTGAAGGTGCTGCTGTCCCTCTAAATGATTTGATCTTTGTGCTCTAAAATGGAGCACCACAGCACTGGAGGCTACAGCACCAGAACATGAGAATATCAAATAGCTCTAACCAGTCATGACCTTCAAGTAACAATCATCATAAACAGGTAAGAAAGATATTGCAAGAACCCAGTTGTATTAAGTGCAAAAACAAGAGCCAGGACAAAGAACTTCAGTCTGTGTTACAAATTTAAACTTTTCTAACATGTCAAAGATGCTGAGTACGTTTCTTTTTCAAGCCATTAGCTCCGACTTTCAGTGCTCTTCCTGCTCGTAAAAGGACGAACAGGTAAGGAAGAACTTTACAAGATGAAACACACATTTTGCTGCTGTTCCTCTAGTGCTTGCAGTAAGAGTAATGCTGAAATCTGTTTTATGTTAGCTTAAGTAAGTATTATTAAGCATAAGCTTGTCCTCTAACTTAGAATCACACAAGCTGGTAGTTAGAATATGTGTCATAAAAGATGGAATGGTCGCTTCCAAATTCCTGGCTTCTAGCAAACCATCGGAACCTTTCTATTCAGGCACCTCAACAGTTTGTTTGCTTCTGTGTCAGTAACAGTGTAGTCCTTCCAATTCCCTCACTGGAGCCTTCAGAGCAGCAGAAAGCTAAAGCACATTCTCCAGCACAAGGACAATTTAAAACATCATGAACCTGTGGCTTGGATAGGACAGAGTTGTAAAGGAAGTGATGTTAAGGCTTTGTGCTGCTTTCAAAAGAAGCTGGTCTGCAATCTTTTAAAACAAGCCTGGAAAAGGCTTGTGTTTTCATTTGGTGCAACAGTTTTAGACAATTTGTCATACAAAAAATACTGTACCATGAACTACTTATCTCTGATAATATTCACAGAATAAAGGGATCAATTAAATTAGACATACTCATTCATAATCACCACAGAAGGGCCTGTAGTTAAGCTTCAGATAAACTAATTTCTCTTCTCATGTCAGGATGTCATTCGCCAGTTCTGTGTTCTCCCACCTGCTTAGTAGATCTGTACTATTTATTCTACTTTGCAATTCATGCCTAAAATTTGTAGATCTAGATCTAGTAACAAATCCCTGAATCCACTTGATTTCACAGCACAAGTAATTTGCTATTACTAGAGAAGGCAGAGAAGTAGCTGTTGCGTTGTTTCATCAGTATGTTGGCGTTTAGTTCCCTGGGTACTCAAACACTGCCGCAGCGCCCATGCCAGTTCCAATGCACATCGATACAACGCCGTATGCTCTGAAATGAAAGAACGGGGAATTAAGACCGATCTGGTTTAGACTATCTGGGGAAAAAAACCAATACAATAAACATGAGCCACCCGCTGCTCTCCTGCATCACCAAGAGATTCTAACAGAGCAGGTCCCGATGCCCTGGAGTTCTTGCAGGGTGCTGTTTGCAGAACACGTGGACACACATTTCTCTGCTCGCTTTCAGGACAGGAGCGGTGCGCCAGCAGCGAGCTCCGTAGCCACCTGCCTCAGACACAGTAACAGGGAGGTGGAGCTAGAACTGCTTTGAGTCAGATGGGTTGAAGAAGAAACTCTTCCTTTCCTGCCTCCTACCACTGCCCTTCACGTGGCTTTGCTATGTAAAAGTTCAAGGTAAATTTGAATAGTCGGGTGATGTGCAGTAGGATTTGTGGAAAAACAGAGCGGAAAGCCTGATTTCAGAGCAAGTTCTTCCACTTCAGCTTGAGGTGATTTATTGTTACTGCCCAGTTTGCTTGGCAAGCTGTTGAAACGCCATCACTGTTACCCTCCCCTCTAGGCGAGGGCAGAGCTCACCCTACAGTGCAGTCCAGTGACACTGAACGTGCCAGCCCCACAGGGAGCAGCGGCAGAGCAGGCAGCAGCAGCTACAGGGGTTCTTCCACACCTTGGGAAAAGCCTGAGTCCCGGGACCAAAACTGTTGCAAAGCCCAATGCAGCCCAGCCTTGTGGAGCCACCAGCTCTGACCGCTGACTTGCTGCTCTAATGCTGCATGGTGGAGAGTTCTACCCCAGGGCCCCGCACCACCGAGGACCCACAGAGACCCTGTATTCATGTCCAGCAACATTGCAGAGCCCTCCATAAAAAGAACCATCAGGAATTCATGTTCAAAGCTATCGAAGGGATGGAGAAAGCTTAACCCAAACTGATGGTTACTTCTGAGCCCAAGTTACTTACATACACGTAAGGCATTAAGGCTGATACTCAGTGCTCACCTTTTCCCTCTGCGCTTCAATTCATTGAGCAAAGTGACAACCTGACGAGCACCAGTACAGCCCAGCGGATGCCCCAGTGCTATTGCTCCTCCCAGGGGGTTGACCTTCTCCATGGGAATGCCCAGCTTTTCAACACAGTACACAGCCTAGAAAGACAGAGGGAATGGCTTCATGGAGATGCTCTTGCATCTGTTAGTTCTCAGCTCTCCTGCAATAGAGGGCTCCAAAGACCGGAAAGAAGACTGGTGATCCCATCTTTACGCAAAGAGGGACAGGAAACCATCCCAGGCAGCTCTAGAGGCTTCAAAAGATTTGTGCTCAAAATGAATTTAACTCAAACTATGATTGTTATTACACAAAATCCACATCATGTCAGCTGCTCTTAAACAGCTGATGCTTGGAGGCCCGACTCCAGCTACAGCACATTTCCCAGTGGAAAGGGGTGGAACTACATTACAAATCCCAAGCACAGAAAGTGAGCTAAGCCTGTCAACTTCATCTCAAACTGAGCCATGGTACTTTCTGATGGGCACACTGTAGGTTGGTGAAAGACAACAGCACTGAGTTTCCACCTTTCATTAAGGAGCTGCAAATTGGTGAGTGCAACATGTTCACACTGACACCAGCCGGTAACAAATTAAAGCCCTTGTGAAGCAGAAATTCTGCAAGTTGTTACTATCATATCCTTATACCAATTACATTCTTATTCAATGGATATATTCTTCTGATTTTTTTTTTAGCTATTAAGCTGTATAAGCAATGCCCTGCTTATTTTTAATTTGAAGGAAAGGGGAAACAGTCTGTGCATGTTATTTACATTTGGCTGAAGATGTAGTATGTGGAACAAGTTCAAATCTTAATTTGGAGACCAAGCTGAAATGCATTCAGTTACCAAGGAATGTAGCAACTCAAACAGGACGATCACTCACCTGGCTTGCAAAGGCTTCATTAATTTCATATATATCAATGTCATTCAAAGTCAGACCTGTGGTTCAGAAAAGTCAGGATTTCAAAGGAGGTATTTTTGCCTTATGACTACATCAAAGAGAATAATTAACTTAAAGCCTCCCTTTATGGATTTTAGCTCTAGTCCACTAGTGACAGTAAGAGGGTGACCTTGGCTCCATGTCAGGTGTCTATACTTGTACACATGTTTATGTACAACAATGTCTAAAAGCTGTGTCACAGTTGTATGTGACCAAGTTTCATGTCACCGAGTTTGCCATGTTTCCTTAGATTAAATCTGATTTCTTTGCAGAGGGGTTGAATATTGAAAGGTGTTTCAAGACTGAAAGATAAAACTACAGGTGAGCATGTGACCATAGCACCGACAGGCAGACACAACAATAATGATCAGGTATAAAAGCTATTTAACCTGATGAGTATTATAAGAACCCTGAGGAAAGCTGGTTCTACTGGTCAGATGCCAAAATTGTGAAGAAACCCCCAAAAACAAATACAGAAACACCACCCTCACAGGTTGGTCGTATTAAGGAAGAAAAACCAGCACTAAATGAACACGAAATCACTTGCCATGTGTTAACTGTTCGTTGAGACTGTGCAGAGATTTAATCCTGAGCTTCTCAAAGGTGAGTGAATGACAATGTATACATGAGTACAAGTGAAGAGCATTACAATAATCCCAGCTCTTTTAAGGTTTTGAATTTAGGTTCACTGTTCCTATGGCTGAGCTGTACATGCTTGAATAATATAATCTCAAATTTCAGTCCAGAGTCTGCTTTGCCTTGCGCCAAACACTGTAAAAACAGCGAGCAGGTCTTACCCGCCTTCTCCACAGCAACAGGGATTGCGTAGGCTGGTCCTATGCCCATAACATCGGGTGGGACTCCAACCACAGCAAAGGACTTGAGCACCCCCAGCACTGGGAGTCCCAGCTGT